GCTTTTATGATGATGTTTCAGAAAGCGCTTCAGTTAAAAAAAATCCACGCACACTTTCTTTTAAGGCTGAAAAGATGATAAGAGATATATTCCCCCACTAATTGCGAGCATTGTCCAAGCGCAGATCTCCAGCGTCCTCTGAGTGCAAAAGATCACCTGCTCGGTGGGCTCAACTCCTCACACACTTCACAGCGAGTCCGTGTGGGAATATTCTGTCAAATATGAGTGTACAGAAAGTCTTCCTTTGTCAGAGGGCCAGATCGGATCAAAACAGTTGATCCGAGGGCCAGGGAGCTCGCAGTGAACCGCTGTCTAGAAGCATGAATGAGACCCTCTGCCGGGATAGAGCGTGGAGGAGGGGCCTTAGTGCCATATGGGGGACCGATTGTTGAAATGGATGCTCTCATTGGTGTAAAGTGCATCCGTTGTTTGGACTTCTGCCAGATTCAGCATCCAACCAATGACTTTTACAGCAAACTTTTCACACATTAAGTTGGACCCGGGTGATGATGAAGGGAAAACACATAATGTTGCACATTTTTACGCAGAAGCTCACATCAGCTGGGCTAAAAAGTGAGGGATGTCTTATTTATGGTGTGGCTGAAATGAAAGGCCCTCTTTGTGAGTGCGCGTGTTACAATAAACTGGCTATTATTTATATTATTCAACCTCAAAATTGTGGACAAATAACAAAAGCCTTCATTTTTATATATTTACAGTAGGCTATATGTGTCCATCTGGAAAATTACTTGTTGAATATGTGTTTAAACTCTCCTGTACGTGCTGCCCTGAATACAACAAATCCTGTTTGGTCTATTCATTCAAGTCAAATCTAACACAAGTGCGCTCTCGACAGGCGCGCATTCAGCAGCTCGACCGTCTGCTCCTTTGAACGCAGTGATTCCGCTGAGGAGGCATCGCATCAGTGTCAGTCGCAACAATGGCCGTCTGGTTGGTCCATCAATCTCCGCCAGCAGCGGACAGGGCTGCGCTCTGATTGGCGTTTGGACCGCTGCCTGACGGTGCCCAAAATGAGTTCTTAATCAATACAACGGACTGTCTTATGAAACCCAATGAGACAAGTTAGAAATAACACTGATAAAAAGAGGTGACATAAAGGCGTTATTTTTGCAAGTTAGCCTATATGTAGGGAAATAGATTTTTGGATATGGTCAAAGTTTCTTCAAGGGTTGATTTGGATTATTTCAAAGCCACAATAATAAGTGCGCAATTTCTGCAGGTTTTGTCGATGTAAATTCATAAGCTATGCATTTTATATTAATAATATAATTGTTTAAATAATTCCTAAATTCAAATGGATTTGTGTTTTGTGTTTAGGCCCAATAAAACGAAAATTTATCATGGTTTGGAGCTTTTTAGTCTTGGAGACCAAAAATTAATTTCCGCTCCTGTTCGTCTGGCTTTGAAAAGGAAAGTTTTTTTTTCTCCAACCCTGCTTCTTTGCCTCTTACTGATACTATTGTCTCTGTGTGGAGTTTGCACGCCCAGACAATGGATGTAAATCTCCCCCCTTTGGATCCCGCCTCAACCCACCATCTGCCAGCGCGGGACAAAGTCAGATGTTCCCCCAATTATGAGAGCAGTCCTGGGGAATCCTGCTGCCGAGTCTCCGCCCTGTCGCCGTGTCCCTCACACACTTCCCCTGAAATGACTGACAGCTCTACTTAACCATGAAAAATCTGTATATGATGACACACTTTTATAAAATTCCTCCAGTGAAATGCACAGAGATGCGCTCTGTGTGGATTTATTGGCTCTCATTAAAGAGAAGCGCCGCATGAAAGTTTACAGCCAGTGCAGACACAAAACTGGGGTCAGTGACTTGCTCCAAAAACTCAAGTGTAGCTACATTCACAGGGATCAAAGCTTCGGTTCCTCTGCAAAAATATTTATTCACTTTGGACTTGAAGTGCACTTCAATTAATCAGGAATGGGGCGGTAAATACCTGAGCATACCCTTTGAGCTGACTGTAATGTTGGGCAGTGGCATAAGTCATTGGAGTCATCACGTAGGCTACATTTTTATATTGTGATCAAACAGGTTTCTGACAACCTTTGTTTTATTACACAATGTGGAGGATGATTGATTGATTGGGTTTATTCATATCAGAAGAAAATTTAATCTCTTGCCAAAGAAGACACTAATCACAATTATTTAACCTTTAATGGAGAATCTATCTATCTATCTATCTATCTATCTTAGTATTTTGAAACTCAAGTAGGCTCAGAGTTGTATATTTTAAGCAGACAAAGTCAATATAAATTCCTCCCATCATGCATCATGTGTGTTTTGCAGTTGACTTCATGCTGCACACCAACTCTTCTCCTCTCTGCAGTCCCACAGGTGCGACAGGCCCGGCCGTGATTATCATCACAACCCGCAGGACTTTGCTGTCTAGATGTGTGGCTTTTCTAATTTGGTGAAGCGGAGAGCCGGTGCGAAAATGGGGGATTAGTCAAACCACAAACGTCTTTCTAATCAATTTAACCCACTGAGACGGTCAGCCTGTGTGTTTTTTAGGGGAGGAGGTGAAGGGAGGGGGAATCAGTGACTGCTAAACCAAACAATGGGGTATCGTGTGCCGCTCGTCCTCTCCAGCATTCCCCTGCTCCCATGGGACACCCAGAGCCACTCTTTGTGGATGGCACTGTGTCCACGGAGGTCAGGAGGGGCGTGGTGCGCTGGTGTGTGTGTGTGTGTGTGTGTGTGTGTGTGTGTGTGTGTGTGCGTGTGTGTGTGTGGAGACGCAGCAGCTGGTTCCTGTCCCTCCTCTCCACTGTGTAGAAAACAACAGAGCTAATGCGACCCACCACGTCTCCCATCGATCGCCATATATTGCGCTCGGTTTTTTTGTTTACTTATTTAGGATTTAGGCATAGATGCAGATCCCCCTGGGGAGTGTCGGCATCCGCAATTACAGCGGAGTGACCACCTTTAGCCTCATTTCTTAATATCAAAAAGCATCATTTGCTCCAGACAGTTGGTTTCATCTCTGTACAAGGCCTGCTGTGATTTGGAGTTAAATCATTTCCTTCAAGAAAAGAAACAACTAAAGCAGCTACTAAAGAGGCCTGGAATATAAGGTCAAAAATGACATACAGAAAGTTCAAAAGTTAGTTATGAATATCACTATATCACTCTAAGCCCCCATTTTACTATAACAGTCTGCAGGGCTTTTCCCTTAGGCTCATGAAATTTGACATTTTTGGATTACTGGTAAATTGGGTGAATAATATCACAATAATGTACCTTTTAAATTACAGTCAACCTTTCTTCACTGTATTTCGACTCCCTTTCATTTACTGTAATTGTCAAATGTTAGGCTATTTATTGTGTCAGCAGAGAGACTGAATAGACACTAAATATACTGTTTGTTAGACAGGAGCTTCTTAAATGTAAAACATATTACAAACAAAGAACTTTGTCTTCTCTCCATAGACAGATTATAAGATAATAAAATAACCCCACCCCCATCCTCAAAGTTAAACTGAGGGGATAAACACTCAAAATGTTTCATGATGGCTTCTCTCTTGTGGCATCTTCAAAGTCAGTGTTTACACTCCTCCTTCAGTTTTCCTTTTTTAGGACTTTTTGGGCTCTATTGCTGACATGAATCTCCTTTGACAAAAATAATAACAGCAACTTTAAGCAGAGGCACTGGCTCAGGAGCCCCCTGAACCACTTACCCCTTTGGGCAAGTGAAAAGTTTGGTTTTGTTAGCAATTTTTTATTGTGAAGTAATTAATGCCATTACTTCACTTGGCTGAATAAATTGGTATTAAAAATAGTGGAGGCTCTCTGAGGCTTCTCTCACCCCTTACAAAAGGCATGAAATGGTTTAGTCGCCCCCAAACTAGGATTCGTCTTAAAATGCAGCTAGAGCCAAGTGAGTGACATAAATTGTCATATCTTTTCCGAAGAAAGGGAAATCAGGTTCCAAAAATGTAAAGAAAGACAGAAAAGGGGGCGCAGAGACTGCTGGTGCATGGGGGCCAGAATTTGGTGATACGTCCCTGCCAGCATGCACAATACCAAAATGCTGAAATCTAAGTCAGAGTGTGACAAGTTCCTAAAAAAATATCACTTATATGGTACACAGTGCTGCCAATGAGCATCAGAACAAGTACTGAAATCCCTCAGACGTTACAATAAGTCAATAGTTTGCACTGAACTAAGACTGGTAAACACAATATTTATTGTTCTATGATAGAAATGTGTTGTTGGTTCTCCAGATATAAGAGGACGTCTCACCTCCTCGTGATGAAGAGCTGAGCACAGATTCACTCCCACATCATAACTCACACTGCATCCTGGCTTGTTGCAACAGAGATGCACTGCAGGTAAAACCCACCTAAACTTGTTGCATCATTGTATCTGTTAGCTGAACTTTTTACCTGTTTTGAGGCGGATATCTTTATGGTATTCTGTAAATCATTTGTTCACTGAATGAGAGCATGATTTGTTATAACTGTAACAAAAACTGTGCTTTGCAGAAAGGAATTGCCTCGCACTCCAGCTTAGTGAAAGAACTCACTGTACTGAACAAAGGTGGTGAATTTAGACATTGCAGATATAATATAAAGAAATAGGCTATCTTTTCTGGATGATATTTTTCCTAATTTACCTCCATGCAATAAACTAATTTTGATTACTGTTCTTGCTTTAACTAAAACTACTTGAGACTGCATTTAAAGCACTGATTAAAGGAGGCTTTACATATGTTGTTGTTTTTTACATGATTCCAGAATGAGCTATATCTACAAATCAACAGTTCATCTTGAGAACCATTAAGTCCAGTATACAGACCACTTATTCATCCAAGACAACAGGTTATGCCTGCCTTCCTGTCCTTAAAACATTGTATGTCACTGCCATCTACTGGTCCACTTAGGAACATCATCAACTGTGGTTTTCTGGGTCTGCAAACAAACCTTTTACATTTGTTTTCATCATCATAAATGTCATTCAGAGGCAGTAGTTAATCTGTACAACAATCCTTTATTAATGTCAAACTTAACATGACTTAGACTCAAATTCTGGAAACCAAAAGTGTGCTCCAAAAAATAAAAAAATAGAAAGGTTTTAAAAGACAGTTCTTGCAGCTGTATCTTATTTGGAGATTACATGATAGTTTACATTCATTTGCATTTATTTATTTCATGGGCTGTAAAAAATCAACCATACTGTACACTTTTCAGAAAAGAGGAAAAGACAATATTAAGCAATACATGACTTATTTAAAAGATAATTAGAAAAAAAGCACACATTAAGTCAAATAGTTTTCACAAAATAATATGTAGAATAAACAATGCCCTTTCTATTAAATTACTAGTGCATGTATCAGTGTATTATAAATATGCCTTCATTAACCTGTGCAACCTTTAGTGCAATGCAAGGAACTGCACTGTGCAAACTGGAAAGGATCTCACCCCTCCTGCAGCACTTCAGGCCCCTAGTCAGTGTACAGGAAATGCCCTGAGAAGTAGCTGTCACGTGTCAGACCGTTGCTACCTTGGCTGGTCTCCAGAAAAACCCTGTCTCCCCTCTTGAGCTTAATGTACGTGCTGCCACTGGCTGTGACGTAACCGTTCTGACGGGTGGTGAATGAGTGCAGAATGAGTTCTGCGTTACGCTTCAGATCCACAACGGCATCGCGATTGTAGATGGTGCAGTGGAAGCTGAATTCATACACACCTGGATGCTCACACGTAAAATACCCTGTCCAGATGTTATAGCTGTGTTGTTCATTGTAGATTGGTTCATGGAAGACGATGGGCCCACCTGAACTGGGGTAGTTGCTGCCCAGTCTCACAGTGAAGGCAACATTTGCAACGCTGCTAGGAGGGCCAGGGGGGCCACGTGGTCCCATGGGTCCTGTGAGCAAAAAAACATATGAGTACAATTATAACAACGTGACCTTCCCATTGCAGCATTTTAAAGATATGCATTTAGTGTGTATATTTAGTGCAATTCAAGCATTTGTGGAAACGTGGTAGATTTACCTGGGGGTCCTGGTGGTCCTTGGTTTCCATTTGGTTCTTGTGCTGGAGAAAATTCAAGGCAGAAGTCAGTATTTTCAAGATATTCCAATTTTGGCACTGATTGTCTTTGGGCAATTGTGTCAGGGAGGATTTCAGGATGTCAACTCACTATTCTCCCTCCATGGACTGAGGTCAAAGGTTCTGATGTCCTCACACCTGGTGTAACCGGATCCTCGAGGACGGTACTGGAAGGGCTGGTCTGGTACCTCAGTGATACCAGTGTTGTCACAGATGATCCGAGCAAGTGATGTGTCCCTCAGGGACTGCCTCTGGGCCTCAGTGAAGACTCCGTCATTCTCCCACCAGAGTCTGCAATTGGACAGTTCGGTAAGGACTCTGAATGTAAACGTGAAGGTAACACACATGCCTCCGTATCTTTAGCAATGTTATGTAACATACCTGTCTCCCTGGCGGATCTTCTCAAACTGAGTGGCAATCAGGCAGGCAAACAGGGGTCCGACTCTTCCTCCACGGACAAATGGCTCAGCCACTCCTCCCAGCCACACATCGATGTTCTCAGGTGTGCCGTACTGATCCAAAAGTTTTTGGGCCATATAAGAGCTGTTCATCACTTGAGTCAGTTCTGCTAGATTCCGTGGCTGCGTCAGCCCGCAGAACCTGCGCCATGCATTGTAGCCTAAAAAGGGGATGTACAGGGTGAAAATGTTGCCAAGTTTTAAGTGTGCAGATTGTAAAGCCTGCAAAGATAGGTAGGCAAAATTCATTCTACACATAAACAACACATAGGTATAAATACCTGGTAATCCATGGTCTCTGCCTCTCTGCATGTTGAGAGAAGCTAGATCCAGTGCCAAGTCAGAAGAGAATTTGAACAGCTTATCCCTCAGCTCATCAGGCATCATGTGATCCTGTGTGTTCAGCTTGGCCTTATGACCCACCAAGCCCCTGATGATTGGATCCAAACCACCTGAAGAACACAAGGAACAGGAACATGTTAAGTTCAGGCTAATGCCGCTGAGTCATGAAACCTCTCCTCAGCTCATTGTAGTTTTTAGCTGCTGTTGCTTAGGTTTGATTGTCCATCCTGTTTGGTATCAACTTATGTGTTTATATGGTAAGAACATGAACTTCATAAGCTGGTTGTCTACAGCACCCAGGACATTGGGTTACATCAGTGTTGATATCAGTGAGCAGCAATTTCAAGTGGAATTTACATGACTTAAGAGGGAAATTATGCACACCCCAGTGGTATAAGTCATGAATTCTCTCCTGACTGATGTTCACCTGTTCCTTTATTGATTCAACATTTCCCCCATTCTAAATGAGCACAGAATTCCTGAAATGGGTGAGTGCTGGACAGTGCTACTATATCATAGTTTGGAGCAGTTGTATCTGATCTGGAGTCTTTCTGTCCAATATGGTGGTAAAGTGGTCAATACAACCAATGCCATTAAGACAAATGATAAATTGAAGATCTTGGGCATACCTTCAAAGGTGATTCTCCACGGTGCAAAGAAAGCTTTGTGCAGTAGTGGGCTTGGGTAATCACGGTGTTCCTGGTAATTCTCATCAAGACGAAAGATGAAAGGCTGAACCATCAGGTGAGCGAATCGGTAGGCAGCTGTGGCAAACACATTGGAGATGCTGGGGTCCACATTTTCATCATAACCGGGGTAGATGGACAGCTGCCTCGCCATGGTGTCTGGACCAACAATGTGGAGTAGGTAATCTCTGTAAGTGATAACCTGAGAGACAAAAAAAGAAAATTGAGATAATTGAACCATGCCAAGACAAACTAACAATTCTGCAATTTTTATTTCTGTTATCTCTCTAACCTGGAAGTATCCTCCCATGATTTTGCGCGCCTCCTGGTAGAGTCTCTCTCCATCCCAGTGAGGATTGAGTTCGGCCAGAGCACGTGCCAGTCGGTTGTGCTCACGCATGAACAGTGTGTGTAAAGAGGTCAGGGCGATGTTCTCATTGCTACGCTCGTCACCTGGGGGACAAAGCAGACCAGTGCTTTTAACTCCTGCAATCTCCACAATGTGTCATTAGAAATACATCAGTGTTCTTGGTGCCTCACCAGCCACGAAGCAGGGCACCTCCTCTGCATTAGCGTCATTGGTGATACGAGCTCGGGTGGCACACATGTTGCTCACTAAGCTGGCGAAGGGCAGGAGCTCACGTCCGTTGTCAGTGTAGGCTGTGTTGACCCTCATCAGGCCCTTGTTTGTGGTGAGGTCGCGTAAGAAGCGAGCTTTGACATTGTCTGCACCGTACACCTGACCCACATCAATGAAAGCTGTGAGGGAGTTCATCTGCTGACGGACGTTGCTTGCACCAAAGAAATGGCCTGTGTTGCCAGAACCACAGGCTGCTGATGAGCGGAAGAAGGGCATGCAGTGGTCTGAATTATTGCCAAAGCGGGGGTCTTGCTCGGGAATCTGTTTGGATGGCAAGAAGCAGTTAGCATCCAGTGTGTGTGTGTGTGTGTGTGTGTGTGTGTGTGTGTGTGTGCGCGTGTGTGTGTGTGTGTGCTTTTTATATTCATATCTTTTCTTTTGCAATGCAACAACACTGACCTCAATGGGGAAGCAGGGCTCTGTGCGTTCACAGCTCCTTTCACAGTCAATACCGTTACTGAATGAGCGAATGACAGGAGAGTGAGGCGTGAAGGTCAGGTCGTGGTCAGTCCACTGGCCGAAGATCGTCACCAGGTGAGTGTAGAGTGGGTCGCTCTCCACATCAGAATTTGCTGTGCGCATAATATGGTTGGACACCTCCCTCACCTGAGGACAGGGCGCAGACAGTGAGCAATTTGGAGAGAATGATTTGTAAAGCTACAAGTAGGCTAAAGCTACAGTAAAGATGATGTTACCAAGGGAAGTATGTGTCCGTGGACGTTGCGAGTACGGTCCCACCCTTTAGGCAGTGAGATTTCATCCTGGTACTCAGCAGGGAGCCAGCGGGTGAAAGCTGTGTTAGCGGATCCCCAGCGGGTGTTTTCTCTAGGCAAGGAAAGATACATCCATCACTACATTGTCTTTATCCTCTCTGTGTTTTGTGTGTGGTTACTGCCACGGCTCTTTGCACTAACCAAAAGGAAGTCTCGCGAAAAGGATAAGGGAACGACATGCAGCAAATGTCCAAACCCAATCTCTAAATCAGTGACATCACAGTTAACACTAAATGAAAGATAGCTGCGCAGTTGTCCACACCTATTCCAGTTTCTTTATTTGTGAAAGGAGATTAAAGATTTAAAAGTGGCCTCACTCGTTGTTGCAGACGCTGCTTGCAGTGCGAAACTTGTCCAAATTGGCAGTCGTCCTGCAGGAAGGGACACGATGTTGGGGGGAGCAGCCTGTCAGCTCAGCGATGAAGGCCAGATCCTCATCATCGAGCACATCTAGTTAAGAGAAGCAACCGATGAGCAACGCAGCTGCAACACATTTGTTTGTGGAGAAAGTTCAGAGAGTTATTGAACGCACCTGTGGCATTGATGGAGCGTCTCCGACGTCTTTCCGAAGAGCTCGTGATCAGTTTAACAGTATAATCCATGTAGTCAGCAGCACGCACAGCGGTACGGGTTGCCCCAACAGGCTGCTTCAAGGTGCGCAGGATGTCTGCAGGACTCACTACATTCCTCCTGAGGCGTTCAATGCTCCTGTGTTGCGTGGAGAGGTCACATGAATGGATTCATTCACAATGTCTTCTACAGCATTTTTTTTTAGTCACTGAACAGCAGTTCAACAGGTTTGTATCTACTCACACGCTCCTGGAGTAATCATACGCTGAGTCCACCGCAGCCTTGGCAGCGACCACAGCTCTTTCAATGTTAGCCCTGCTCACATGGGATGCTGGATGAAAAAGAAGAAGAGGAAACATTTTAATTTGATTTTTTTTTTTTTTTTGGTTCATTTTCAATTCCAATGTTTTTGATGTGGACATTTTTAAGTTTCATACTTAATTGCAAAATATTAGGCTATATGTTGTACAAAATAGCTATCGTTGCACCAAACATGAACTTAAATATAAGAATAAAAAACACTGACTGCTCAGCTCACTCAGTGTAGAAGTCATATCAAAAGCATCCAAGGCAATCCTTAATTATTCATATAAAACAGATGACCAGCGCGTTTAAACATTGGTCATCCATGCATTGGGCCTAATAAATTATATTTACTTACAATAAGAATGCCCCGGCTGCTTTTCAGACTGCCAACTTAAAGCATGAACTTATGCTTTTTTTTTTTTATTCTTATTCGACTGCTTGCCCTAGCGCATTTGTCTTGTCATCACCAACACCTTCACCCAGTGCTAATTTTTTCTTCACAAATTTAAAGATTTTGAATGAGATCTGACAAGTTTCATGCAAAAAAAAAACCCAAAAGGATAATTAAGTAGTGTGACATTATTTTAAATCAATCAAATAATCAGTGACTTTATTTGTACTCACCAGTATTCACCTGGCATTGTAAGCACAGGTAAAGACCTGCAGCAGTCAGGCACAGAAACCAGTTCATCTCTGGAAAAAAAAAAAAACTCCAGTCAGCAACGCACTGGTCAAATGATTTTAACTAAAATAATATTTCCGATATTTTTTTTAACAAATAGCCTACTTAATCGTGTAAAATAATCCAATCTAATATATTATTATTATGTTGACTATAGCATATTAACCGTAGGCCTATCATTTGAGTAAAAAAAAGACAGTAATACAGAAAAATAAAAATGATCTAACAGAACACTAACCTTAAGAAGCGTGTACTCCAACGTCCCGTAGCATTCAGTAGCTCTATTAACCTATAACTACTGCTCATAATAATGCCGAGCCTATTTATAGTCCTGGTGGTGCTGCAGGTTGCCAGGAACTTTGCCAGTAACTTATCTTTTCCTCATAGTTCCTCCTACACAGCGGCAGCATTCCCGTTGAGCCAGTTCAAGTGCCAATTACGGAACAGAGCAGTGAGGAAAAAAATAGGTGCATCCTCTCACTGAAGATTAATGTCATTGATATATAATGTAAAAGTTTTTAAATTACATGACGATTTTTCTGTATTAGTGAGGAGAAGTTAATATCAGACAGAAGAGCAAGCTGCAAGGAATATTTAAACATAGTGACACATTTTGCGTTGAGATTTTATTTTATTTTATTGTATTTGTCATGCATTTATTTCATTGTTTGTTTGCTTGTCAATTTTTATTTATTTATTTTCTATTTCTTATTTTATTTGTAAATGAATTCTACATTTCTATAGGCCTATCAAATGTAATAATGCTGGACCAGCGCTCCATCGCTGCACCTTAAGAGATTCTTCTGACCCTGCTCTCACACATAAGATTTATAAATACAGCCTTTGCATAACTTGACGTTACATCCAATTATCTGTTATTTCATTTAAAGATTAATAAACAACGACTGGTGAGCTTCATCAGGGTGTGATGAAGACTCTCTAGTCAAAACGCGTTGGTTATTCGTGTATTAATAAAGTTTTTTTTATAACTACAGATACATTTTTTGGACTGCCTGCTTGTACTGCTTGTACTATGGACTTTTACACTGGGTGAGCTGGACAGTCCTATCTTAAAGTGACTCTTTGCCCCATCCTTGAAGAGCACCTGATTATTATTTTATTTTTTTACAACTGACTACACACTCCCCATTTTTTCCTCATTATGTAACTTCATTAACTCTATTTTTTATTGTAGCTTTTGTGTTTTTCTGAGTAACTAATGATTTTTGTTTTTATTTTTTTTAATTGTTTTTCACATTTTTTTGTGTTATTAACCTGTGTGAATACCTATTGTGTATCTCTACATTTCATTCCACTTCATCACGTAACTCATTATAATCCAAGTTGATCGATGCGGACTTTACGGTAGCGTTTTCGGGATGTCAAATAAACAATAAGAAGCTCGACAAGATATGTTGCGTGTCCACAACTTCCTGTAGTGGAAACATTTACGGGAATCACTGTCAAACACAATGGACGAAACTCCTCACTGCGTGACCGGCGACAAGAAAGCCCTTTAGAAAGGGCTGTCATATTTTATTCACACGCGACATAGACGGTGTGTCTAACACCTGAGGATTTGGTGAATGAACTCACTTTGTAATCGGATTATTTAAAATTGCTGCGGGTTTTGGATATTCTGATAAAAGTTTAAAGGAGCCCAGTTTTTTAATGAATAAAGTGCTTATTGGATACTAAACAAATAAAGAATATAAATCCTACCTTACATCAAATACCCTGAAACATAAAGGCACGTTCTCTAGCCTATAATCAGATTCCATTTTGCAATATTTCCCGACAAATTCTGTTATTTTCTGTGCCAAAAGGGGAAAATGTCGTTTCATTAATGAACTGTAGCCTTGCACGTATCACACGAGTTTGTCGGGCTGCGCCTTTTTGACCTTTCAGTGTCACTGCAGCCCGTCATTAATTATTGTCTCCCTCTCTCTGTCTCTCTCCCTCACACACACACACACACACACACTATAAAGTAAAATGTGTTTAATACTGGGTCACCTGAAGGTAACAGAGCCTATGTCACACCGCAGACTGACAATTTGTGTGATTTATTAACTGACCTAAACATAATCCGTGCACTTTGATGAGGGTGTGGTTGACAGAGAGCAGTCTGGGAACATATTGTTTTGTTACTCACAAGGAGACAATATATTTAAACATGACTAATTTATTATTAGTGACACATAGCACCGAGGATTAGTTCCCACAAACTCTAAACATGCTGTAGTCCTCTGTCCTTTTATATGGTTCAGTGTTTTAGTGTAGCCTGTTTGCTCAAAAATAATGCCATGATGTATTATGTTACATCTCATGTGTAGATATTAAGGTGCCTTTGTTTTATATAGTATTTGGTTATTTACAGCAATATTCAACATTTGAAGACTCAAAATTCCATGCTGCGTTCAGGACTGGAATATTTCTCAAAGCCCTGGTTCTTTTAGGTTTTTAAAATACCTTCAACTTTGTTTCATTCAGATAGCAAGACGCCCATTTTATTTATCCTACTATGCCCTTCTCTAAGAAATCTAATATAATTGAGCAAATGCATTGGTGTAGAGGTAGTTGATGAGGTGGGTGTACTAAATACACTGCTTAAAAAATGTAGGGAACACTTAATCATCACAGTAACACTGAGTCAGTTAAACTTCAGGGGTATCAATCTGTCCATTTAGGAAGCGCAAGTGATTGTAAATGAGTTTCAACTGCTTTGGTGCAAATGAAAGTGACAACAGGTGTAATGGAGAGGCAAAAGCAAGACAACTCCCAAAAAGGGAATGGTTTTACATGTGGTGGCCACAGACAGTTGCTCTGTCCTTATCCTTCCTGACTGATTCTTCTCTAGTTTTGTGTTCTGCTAGTGTCCTTGTCATCACTGGTAACACGAGGCGGTACCTGCAGCCCAATCAGGTTACACAGGTGGTCCAGTTCCTCCAGGATGGCACATGCATATGTGCAGTCGCAAGAAGGTTTGCTGTGTCTCCCAGCACAGTCTCAGAAGCATAGAGGAGATACCAGGAGACTGGCTGTTACATGAGGAGAGCTGGACAGGGCCGTAGAAGGGCATCAACCCAGCAGCAGGACCAATATCTGCTCCTTTGTGTGAGGAGCAACAGGAGAAGCACTGCCAGAGCCCTACAAAATGGCCTCCAGCAGGTTACTGGTGTGCATGTTTCTGACCAAACTGTCAGAAACAGACTCCATGAGGGTGGCATGAGGGCCCAACGTCCTCAAGTGCAACCTGTGCTCACAGTCCAGCACCATGCAGCTTGATTGGCATTCACCAGAGAACACCGGAATTGGCAGGTCTGCTAGTGCTGCCCCATTCTCTTCACAGATGCAGCTTCACACTAACCACATGTGATGGGAAGGAGTCTGAAGACGCCGTGGTGAACGTTATGCTGCCTGTAACATCATCCAGCATGATCGGTTTGGCGGTGGGTCAGTGATGGTCTGGGGAGGCGTATCCTTGAAGGGTCACACAGTCACACAGACCTCCATGTCACAGCCAACAATACCCTGACTGCTGTTAGGTACAAAGGTGAAATCCTCAGAGCGATTGTCAGACCTTACGCTGGTGCAGTGGGCCCTGGGTTCCTCCTGGTGCAGTGGGCCCTGGGTTCCTCCTGGTGCAGGACAATGCCCGGCCTCATGTGGCCAGAGTGTGTAGGCAGTTCCTGGATGACGAAGGCATGGGTGCCATTAACTGGCCCTTTCGTTCCCCTGATCTAAATCCTATGGGCACCTATGGGACGTTATGTAAAGGTGCATCTGACGGTGCCAAGTACTGCCACAGACTGCCCAGGAGCTGATGGGGGGCAAGAAGGGACGCCATACCCCAAAGCATTTGTAGCTAGTTAAGCTGACCAGGAAACTCACAGACCAGTTGCATGCATAACGTCTCTGACAATCAAATCTGTGAGATATTTGTCCCCCTGTCAGAAATATACAAATCACCTACTGATAACATCAGACAATTTTTGCCTCTTTTTAGGTGTCAGGAGTAACAATTTGTTATCCTCAACATTTAATGTGTTATGGTTACAGAATGATGAAGACAGTTGGAGAAAAATGAGGTGCTAGGGGTGTAACAATACATGTATTTGTACTGATCTGTTCGACATGAGGCTTTCAGTTTGGTATACAATACAAACTAAACTATTTGTAGAACTATCCTATTACATTTTGAAAAATGAATAAACAGCTTAACTTGTGTGACATATAATGTTTTCAGTGCCACTGTGCTCATCAAGGCAGCCCACAAGACTGTCCGACCCTCCCACCCCCAAACCAAAACATTTGACTCCAGTGAGGTACACTGGGAGGCACGCTGCACTAAGCAAGGTCATTGCAATATGGTTAGTAATGTCATTACCAGACAAGAAATAGAAGATCCTTCAATAACCTACAGTTCTGGTGTTCGGGGCCACTTTGTACCTGCTGTGAATTAAGAGGACGATGACGAGACAGTGATGGATAAAAAAACAAGGGTATGTCACATCTGGTACATGCATACATAGGCGGACATCACCGTGTCAGTCGGTGGAATTGGACGAAAACGAGGAGCACACAAGCTACACGCTAATGTCATCCCTGTAGCATTTAGGCAGCCATACCTGTTTCAGACTGGGAAAAAGAAATCAGATGTAAGTTGAACAATGGATCAACTCTTCGCTGTGTAGTACATGTGTTTTGTCCTGGTCCAGTGAAGCACAGTAAAACACCAGAGAAAAAATTGAACATAAGCATATTGTAATAAAAATAAATGCTGCGTCACACTTATTCGCATAACACTCATTTATTACCATTAAGATTATGTAAATTGTCAATTCTTACAACAAACAAAATTATATTCCACATGTCTTCTTGAAAAATACACACCTTGTAATGTACCTTATTTAGAAATGATCAAGTAGTTCACATTCATTTGGAGTCATAAAAGGAACTAAAAAAATATCATATTTCAACTGATATAGCACCTAAAGGAGTCACATAAACTTCCAGCAGTTAATAAAATACCCATGTCGAAAGAATTGTCCTTTCATTTATATATTTAATGTAAGTAAAGGAAAATTCCACACAGCAAAGCAGGCAGATGCTACGTTTAAACAATGACACAGGTTTTAAAAGTTGCAGTGTTGTGTGGATAATGTTTTGAGGAGTCAGCAGCAATATGAAAAAAGATCTCATATAACACAGTAAAATCAGATGCCCTGAGAAGTAGCTGTCTTCAGTAAGACCAGTGCAGTGAGGATTGCTAGGGAGAATTCTCCCTCCATGGACTGAGGTCAAAGGCAGGGATGTCCCTACATT